AATAATAATAGAAGAGAGAGACTTTTTTCTTTTTTTAAAGATTTTATTTATTTATTTGACAGAGAGAGAGAGAGGGAGAGAGAGGGAGAGTGGTAGAGGGAGAGGGAGAAGCAGACTCCCCACTGAGCAGGGAGGCCAACTCGGGGCTCGATCCCAGGACCTGAGCCGAAGGCAGACGCTTAACCAACTGAGCCACCCAGGTGCCCCTAGAAGAGAAAGTCTTAAAACACTTGTGTGGCCTCATCCTCTTTCACCAGGATTTCTTTTTATTCAAGGTTGAGGTCAGAGTTTTATGATGTATTTGTATTTTAGAACCAGAATGGATAAAAACTAGCATTGCAACGGCTTGGCAGAAGCATGAGTTTTTTGTTTTTGTTTTTGTTTTTTAACCTCTCCCTATCTCTTTTCCAAAGACAAATGATTGTGTTTTAATAACCTAAATAAGAGATGGGTTCAAAATCCCTCATCAAGATTAGAAATAGAATTAAGAGTCAAAGTTATAATACCAAATCATTCTAGAGTGCCTGAGAGGTTCTGCTAGTTTTGTAATTGGTTAGTTCTCCCATTTAGATTCTTTAAAATACTTTCTCCTTCATGTCTAGCCTAATTTTCCCTCTCCTGTAAGGGTCGGTACAGGTGAAGAGCCATCTCCTTGAAAGGAACTTTCTCTAAAGAGCAGACCTTCATACTCTATGCAGATGGTCTCACATCTCTTCACCATTTCTGTGTTCTCTGTTGGTTTCAGTGTGCTCTTCCTTCTGACCACGGACACCTGCTTTCTTCTTTGCAGGACTTCCCTCAGGCTACTGGAACCACTTTGCCTGCATGCTCAAGAGCTTCTGCAGACAGCTGGAGTGCCCGGGCACTTACCTATCCTTCAGGGGCATTTGGCCAGCGGGTGACTGGTGTACAAGTATGGAAGCGCATCTCCTCTGCCTCGGTGCATTCCAGATTTCCCATGCAGGATCAGGTTGAAGCCATCATCTGTGAGACTTTGAAATATTACCCTGGCTTGGCTTCCTCCCCCTTCCCTGTCCTGCTTTCCTTCTTCCCTTAGCCCTTTATTTTGAGAGTACTTTCATAATGCAAATCCTATCTCAAGGTTTGCTTCCGGGGAACTTGACTTAAAACACAACCTTTCTGGTATCCCTTTTTGTGGAATTCTAATAACAATCTCTACATGGTTGGACACTAGTATTAGACCATGTCATAGGACTTGCTCTCTTTTCACTCCAAGGAAACTGTGATCTCTCTGATGGTTGATGGAATCCTAGCTGGTGTCTACTATTTTTACTTTATTGTTTCATCCTGCATCTATTTCCAAAAAAAGTCTGTAGGAGCTTTACAATAAATGAGTAGGTAAAATAAAACCAAAATCAGTGGACAGAAGATAAATGATGGGAACCAAAAAATAAAGGGAGGAGGAAGAAGGAAAAATCACCAACTCCAGACTGAGGAAAGCAGCCCAAATCAAGAATAATATTTAGATTGTACTTCTTAGCAGCTAGGATAAAGATGGAAATATGATCTTTTTTTTTTTTTTTTTGGTAGTTTTCAATGTTTAGTAGCATGAAGTTGTCTTAGTTATCCATTGCTGTGTAACAAATTATCCCAAAAGTAAGCAGTTTGAAACAACAAACATTTATTAGCTCTCACAGTTTCTAAGGCACAGGAAATGGGGAGCAGCTTAGCTGGATGGTTCTGGCTCATGGTCTCAAGCTGCAGTCAAGCTGTTGCGACAGCTGCAGTCACATCAAGTCTTGACTGGGAGTGGAGAATCCATTTCGAAGCTCACTCATGTGGTTGTTGGCAGGCCTCAGTTCCTCACTGTTTGTTGTCCAGAGGCCTCCCTTCTTTGCCACATTGCCTCCTCACATGTGGCCTGAAAGTCCTCAAGACATAGCAGCTGGCTTTCCCCAGAATGAGAGACCTGAGAGAAAGCCAAAACAGAGCTGCAGTCTTTTCTAAAGTACCCTGGACTATGATAACCCACCACTTCTGCTCTATGCCACTGGTCTCACAGAAAAACCCTCATACGGTGTTGGAGGGACTACACAGTGTACCAATGCCAGGGGGTGGAGATCCCTGGGGCCATCTTGGAGGATGAGGACCACAGAAGTATATTGCATGTATTCATTTCTCCTGAAAGAGTGAAAAAGATTGTTCAAAGGAGGACCCCATGTGTACATTTTTTTGGTATGTTCCATGTACTTGTCATATAAAAGGTTCTCAATGAATATTATGGATACTCAAATATACTAGTCTTCCAGGATGTTTTCTCCATAATGAAGAGTAAGACAACTAAAACTATTGAGGATATAGTATCTGTACTAGATACTACATTGGATGCTGATTTGGGTACTTATAAGTCAATCTTTAAAAAAGTATTGTAGATATGCCACTTCTATATTTCTAATGCTCGCACTCTAAAGCAGTGCTCAGATTGCTTCAATCTGAGCTTCAGCAGCCTCTCAATGTACCTTCCTTGGTCTCAATTCTCTTCATCTTATATTTCACTTTCATCATCATTATTGCTTAATGACTCATTACTAGTATAATAAAATCCAATGTCCTTGACTTTTCAAAAGCAGAATTCAAGTACCCAAGTCTCTATCCCATTGCTTCCATCATGAGCCTTGTCTTCAACCTGGTTGAAGTATTCTCACTGTATTCCAAGTGTCCATGCTAATTTTTAACTAATAACTTATTCTTGCTGCCATTTCACCTACTGAGAGTTTCTTATTCCATTATTTGTTATCTTCAAATCCTTGTTGAATTGTCTTCCTCAATATTTCTTTATCTTCACCACTTCTGCATTAGTTCAAGTCCTAGTACTTCTTAGGTGGATTACCTTCTTTTTTTTTTTTTCCTCCCATTTTTTTAGGTCCTTTCTGCTCCAATCCATTCTCCATATTGCTCCATTATTTTTTATAACATGTCACACTGATTACTGATTATATCATTTCCTTGCTTGAAGTGAACAAATCACTTTGAGGGCTTGACATTTAGTAGGTGCTCAGTAATTATTAATTGCATGAATGAAAGGACCAGGTAAAGTCCCACTCTCTATTGCCATGAAGTCTTCCTATAATTCTGACTCTCACTTTGATCTTTCTCTCTTTTGAGGTCCTGTGATTGTCTGTGTTTTCTCTCTCATTTTGATGTTCTCCTGTTAATCACTTAACTCTTTCTTTCTTTCTTTCTTTTTTCAAAGATTTATTTATTTTAGAGAGAAAGAGAGCTTGGGGCTTGATCTCAGGACCCTGAGACCATGACTTGAGCCAAAATCAAGAGTCTGATGCTTAACTGACTGAGCCACCCAGGCACCCCCAACTCTCTCTTTCATTCATTTATTCTTCATTTGTTTATTAACTCCACACATTTCTTTAGTACCTACTATATGCCATATACCATGCTAAGTCTTGGGGTACAATGATTAGGAAAAACAGAGGCTTTCCACCTTCATGGCCCTTAGAGTCTAGTTGCAAATAAGGATGAAATTAAATAATCACATCAAGGAAGGTATAATGACAGACTGAGGAAAGTGCTGCAAAGGAGTGGTTGTATGGAGGCATGTCACACAGGACCCAGCCGTGGACTCAGACCTGAGAGAGGCTTCTCTGAAGAAGTGACTGCTTTTGAGCTAAGATTGGAATGATGAGTAGAAACCACACAACAAAGAGGACTGGGGCAAGGAGTGAGGATAAAAGACCCTGTTGTAAGCAATGCAGTGGGAATACATAAGGACTGTGTAATGGGATAAAAATTTAAAAGAAGGCCAGGTTGATTGGGCCCAGGAAGAAAAAAAGGACATTAATGGAAAAACTGATGAAATCTGAATAATGCATGGAGTTTAGTTAATAGCAATGTACTAATGGTAATGTTAAAGGTTTCTAAGGTTTGACAAACATTGCAGTAATGGAAGATGATAATGTTAGGGGAAACGGAAACTGAGTGAGCAGTATATGGGAACTCTCTACTCTCTATGCAACTTTTATGCAAATCTAACATTATTCCCAATTAAAAGTTTATTTAAAAAAATAATAAGGCCAGAATGAAAGAAGCTCAGTGTGTAAAGGAAGAAGGGTGCAAGATAAGGCTGAAGATTAAGACAAGGCCAAGATTTCTGCAGACCTTGTGCACTATCTTAAGAATGTTAGTCTTCATCTTGCAGTAAGGGAGGACCATGATAGTTTTAAATAGAGGATGTCACAGCAGAGCTGCATTTGAAAGTATCGCTGGCCTGGGGGCAGTGTGGACAGTGGATTAGAGGGATACTGGGGTGGGACACTTGTAGTTAATCAGACAAGAAATTAATTAAAGATGGGGCAGACTCTTAGCAACGTGTATGTTTTTGGACTTCATTTACCTTTTATTTCTCTTTAATGTCTGTCACAGGATTCTGCACATAATATCTATGGGACACATTTATTGAACGAATAAATGAATAGGTAAATAGATGAATTCATGAAAAGGGATCAGATCAGGTTAAGCAGCCCCTTGGCAATATCATGGTGGCACGAGGGCTGGCACTGGTGATTTCTGAAAGAATCAATAGACTTTCCCTCATGGTTTCCCCTCTTGCTTTCAAAAACCCTTCATTACTCCAGAAATGAGTGATTTCTTGTCTTATGTTTGGAATACCTAGTGCTTGCACAAAGGTTTAAGGAGGAACACTGATGGAAAAGCGGAGGTTCAAGAACACTTTGAAAGAAAACTTGGAAGTGTTTGATACCTGGGAATGCAAGAAATAAGTCAAGACGTGGTGAGTCATCAATTGGCACAATGGCTTCTTTTTTTGAGCATTTTCATTCTGCATATAATTCATATTTCCCCCTTTTTCAGCACTAGAAGTAATCTTAGCTTTCTTAGAGACATCCTTAATTAGGAGTTCTTCTCCTAAGAGAAGAGGAAGAAATTAGGAGAAGACTCCTAATTTCCCAGTAGATAAAGGAAGCCCAGGGAAAGGCTGTAGCGTGTGTATGAGGAAGGCGCCATACCATGAGTTCTGTTTGCTCACTTCAGCTGAGAGCCAGCAGGTTAGGCAGTGGCAGGTCTGAGTTTTCTGGGAGCCTTTTAGCACAGGTTTCTGAAGAACATCTCTTGAGCTAATTGGTTTGAAGATCAGGAGACTGCTGAGTTCCTTTCAACCTAGAGGAAGAAGGAACTAAGAATGATTAACATTCCAAGATTGTTTCAGCCAGGCAACCCTAAAGATCCCGGTTTCTGTCCCAGAATCTTAGCTCGGAACACTTGCGCTCAGTGTTTGGGGAAGTCTATCCCTACCCATGTTTGTTTTCTAACACACGACCAATTTTAGCCAATGGAGCTTATATCATGGATCTCAGAGGTTAATCTTTTCCCTTTCTTGTCTCCTCTCCTTTCCAGACATGCATTCATTTGACTGGCAGCCTGGAAAATTGAAAAATGCCACAGGGGTTATTAAGGTTGAAATCGTTTCTGCTTTGAAGCCCTGCAAGCTAGTTATTGCTGCACTCTAATATCCAGGCCTCAGAATAGCACGTATTGTTCTTAGGCTTGCCTGACATAGGCCTGTACCAGCCGTAACACCCAGATAGAATGAAGGGGTCTCAAGATGTCATTTCTCCACTCTGAAATATATCCCTTTAGTCGATTAAAACAGAGTCCCTGAAGTTATTAGAATGTATTCTGTGTCTTTGTGCACACACGTTTGATTTACTTTTGTTCTTATTAAAAGGGTAAGCCTAGAGAAAAGGAGAAAAGAGAATCTTCCATAATCCATATTTTAATAATTGCCTGAGTGCACATTTACTATACAGAGACTTTCCTGTTTCTGTAACTATTTACTTGGCTCTTCTGCAAAATGTGTATTACTTACCTGGCCTGGTAGACCATGACACAGCTTCTGGCCTATCATGTAATCCTATATTTGGCTCCCCCTGAGCCATTATGGTGTTCTGAGTCTGTCTGTAGGATGGAGATATTATTTTAATGGGTCTTTTTTTTTTTCACAATAATGGTTCCATATTGTATAAATTGTATTGAGTCATTATGATGTTAACACATAAATATTAAGAAAACCATTGGGAAAAAGTAACTGTGTAATTGAGATAGCCTATTTTCCAATGTTAATAACTTCTTCTTTCATTTTTTTCTCTGTAAAAAATATCGAGGGAGTTTAATCCACATTAAAAACTTACAAACATTTATTAAAAAAAAAAAAAGAAATCATTTCATACCCTACCTCAATAACAGGAAATAATACCACCTCAGCCACTGGAAAACTTCTATGAATCATTTAAACAAAACAAAGAAGGAAAAGAAAACCACCCCAAAACCAAAGTACACCATGGTAACAAGAAACTTCAGAGATTCTTCAGGAGAGAGAATTTGTTTCAATTTAGCTTTAGGGCAATAATCTTTTTTACCATGTTGCTTCAGGCAAACAATTCAATATTAGCAGTGCTTATGACTAAGAATAGGAAGACGTAAAATAATCTATAATAACAAAAAACCCTGATCATGAAAGTGAACTTAAATTCATGTTCTTCAGGGGCACCTGGATGTCTCAGCCAGTTAAGCGTCTGACTCTTGGTTTCAGCTCAGGTCATGATCTCAGGGTCATGAGGTTGAGCCCCGCATCAGGCTCTGTGCTCCATTTCCATGCATGTAGTTGGCTTACTCCTATATTGGTATATCAATCAGGGTCCCGGTAGGAAACAGAACTCATTCCAGATGGTTCAAATAAGACTTTAATAAAAAGATAACTTACAGAGGTATGGGGGCTGCCATCCAACAGGAGTGCGTGAGGAATGGTGAAGTGTTCCCCTCAGGGAATGAAAATAGGAAGCCATTACCACACCCACTGCTGAGTGCCCAGAGGGGGAAGTGGTGTAACTGGAACCCAGTAAGCACTGGAAGGGCGGAGGGAGGGCTGCTGTCACAGTGAATCAGCACAGTTGTCACCGTAGCTGTGGCATGAAAATAGAATGAGTGGGGAAGAAATACTCCAACTTCTGTCCTTCTGCCACCCGTCTCCTGCTGTACATCTGTTGGACAACCTCACCCAGGAGGCAGCCGGAGAGAGAGCCCAGGAGATGTAGTCTGCCAGGGCCACCTCCTGAACATCAAAGTAAGGGGGAGCAAAGAAGGAAGGTGGCAACAAAATGGGAAATGTTCAGAACAGTTGGTTTTTGCATCACTAGAGTTAGCATTATTGATGTCTAAAGAAATTACTGCTAAGGGATTATACTTTTTATCCTCCTTGAGAAAGAAGCTAGAAGTTTCATATGTTCTTTCACATGAGATAAGAATTTCAAAATGACCTTCGGCAAGTTTTTTTCTTGCTTTGCAAAAATATTCAAAAATTTATCCAATAGTCTAATTAATATCCATATAGGAAATTGCAATTTTCAAAGGATTTTATCTTTGAGATAAAGTATCTCATTTAACCCTAACCCAAGCCCTAAGAGGTAGCTATTATTTGATTTATTTTCCAGCTGAGGAGACTGGAGCTCAGAGCATCAAATGACTTTCCCAATATCCTAAGTCAGAATGAACAGCATCAAGATGCAAACCTGGGTCTCCTGACTCCAGCCACCTGGCTCTTGGCATTATACCACTCTGCCTTTCTCAAAATAAGAATGTCATACACTTGTGACAGCAGACACACTGAAAGAACAGAACTGTCTATACCTTGCAGGAAATCGCATTTGTAGGGGAACTAGGCATCTTTGCATCACACAAGCTCGGTCTCAGGAAGTCAAGGGCAGTCTGAAACATCAAGGCCAGTGGAAGGAAATGGTTCAGGGAGAGATGCGAGATTTGAGGCAGAGACTGGAGGTATATCCTGAGGAAACAGTAAGCAGGAGTCTTTCCTGAGGAGTGTACATTCCTGAGAGTGGTTGGGAAGAGAATATTAAGGATGTAAAGCAAGGCTTCTCAAGTGTTAAACAGATGGCTACAACATTTCTCAAAATAGTGTTCATGGACCACTTCAGTCAGAATCACCAGGGTTACTAATTAAAACAGTCTACACTGGATCCCCCTCTGACTTACAGGGTTAGAGTCTATTTAAGAGGAACTACACGGTATGACATTTTGACATGTCCTCTACATTAGGCCCCTACTCTCCCACCCCTACTGCATCCCTCCCCAGCTACACAGACACACAGACACACAGACACACACAGACACACACACACACAGAGGTTGAGAACAACTGAGAGCAAATTCAGGCAGCTTGACTAAAAAGAGCTCTGTGATGGGACTGTAAATATTTGGTCTGGCATGGCTGAAAATAAGCCATCTGATTACTCATCTATCATACCAACTTCTGTTTCTTTGCTTCAATCATACCTTTTGAATAAGCTTTTGAAATGTATTTTCTAATTTTATGCTTTAATAAACAAGGTATTAAAGACAAAATGACTTTTCAGACTCTTACAGTGACTTGAGTTAAATATTTTAAACATCAATTATGGTGAACGTTGAGGATATTTACATCTTTAGTAAATCTGTAGTAAATGGAGAAATTTGGTTGAAACTGTGGATGCTAAGATTGCTTTTAAAAAGGAATCCCTAAGACAGGCATGTGTTCTTGTTATTTAATCTCATTTTCATAAAAGTAACTTGAAAAATAAGCAACTGCAAGAACTCTAAGGTGAGATAATATGGCTGCCTTCTTCTTTTGTAAAATTAATTATCAACAACAGATGAAGTCATCTGCAAGATGTTTTCTAATCAACACTAAAAGCTTCTTTTCTGTTTTTATCATCATCCTTTTGCAGCATTCAAAACACTATGTATTGTTTCGGCATCAATAACACTTCAACTTCCTGTCAGCTTGCTTTAGGACTCAAGTTTCTGGGTGCCAGATTATCTGGGGTTATCGTGTTTATGGTATGGGATGGAATATTGATTTTCATTCTTTTCAGTAAAGGTTTTGTTGTCATTTGGAACTTCATTCTGTGGAATATGGGTGCTCTACCTTCCTACCCTTTGAGAACTTCCTTGTCAGTTGGAACCCTATAATCTGAGTCACGTCTCAAACAAATGGCATTTTAAATCCTATTTAATAACAGTTTTAAAACAGTGACTAAGGCTGACTATAATATAACTTAACTGTGAATCTACAGGCCACATCTACAATCAGCCCTGCTGATTTATAGAGAGGCACAGATACTTTATAACTGGTAACCTTAGGTTGAATTTGAGCCAATTGTAGAATTTTCCCTTTTTTATTGCAATTCAGAATGGCAAACATATAGTTTTTTCCCCCTAAATGATGGTAGCATTAGCCACAAGAACAAGATATGCTGGTTGATTTTTTGCCCCATTAATGGATCATTAGGGAAGGTCTATATACTTGGAATTGTTTTTAGGGAGGGTCTATGTACTCAGAATTGTTTTTCCAGTAATGGTTGTGGGTTTGAGTTGATTCATTTATACTAGAGGGTAGTCCCTCTTGGACTAACATCTGTAGTTTTGAGTTGGCTGGCCTGGGTTGAAACTACAATTTATAGTCATGGAAGTAGACCAAAATAAACAGCTTATTCCAGAATTAACTCAAGAGTTTGACCTCATTTGCAACATGCTCTACACCAGAGTTCATTGGTTTTAACCTAATGGCTATTTTTAAAATTAAAGTCCTTATCTTTGGGGACTTTTCCAGAAAATCCACCAATTACTTTTTCAAATATCCATTATTTCTTCAGGGACATATTTGATAAGAGACAGAAGAAAATATAAGCATTATATATTTTGGTATAAAGATAACAGTGCAATCTCTATAGTAATTTCCTGTAAGTTCTTATCAATGCAATTTAAAGCAAACAATTGGAAAGTGAAAATTAAATGTGATCACCTTTTTAGGAGAGGTGTGTTCACAATGCCAAATAATCAATTTTATTCATTTTCCCCCTTTCTGAGCTGACCAGTTGCTCTGGTTCCCCATAGTATCACCTTAGCATGTATCTCCGAGAGCTCTCTATAAATTGAGAGATCTTAACAGGTGTTACCACCGGACCAAGCCATTATACCTACCATAGCACTTTTATAAGACATGACACTTACTTGAGTATTATTAATTCTTAGACTGGTACAAAAAAAAAATCATTCAGCTATTCTTTTAAGGTTTAATTACATATATGCACGAGTGTATGCTGTTT